TGCCCAGGAGGTCACACTGCAAATTAGCCCCCCAAAGCCCCCAAAGGCCAACACCCCGTCGTCATGGACACAGGCAGGAAAGCCTCCCTGCCTCCCCTCACCTGTCTGTGGGTCCTGAGGCCCAGGAGGACCGCCCAGGGTGGGGCGGCAGCGCGGTCTTTCTCTGCGGCCCCGCCCCCCTGCCACAGGCTCCTAGGGCTCTGCTTCTGCCGCCTGTAGGCACAGCAGCCTCGTGCCACCTCCACGGCCCCAAGCTCTGCCAGGCAGGGGTTCGGGTCTGCACACAGTCGTGAGGCCACAAACCCATCTGTTTGGGTCCTGCCCCCGGGGGTGATGGGAGAAGCGCTGAGGACGCCCTTGGCCCCAATAACCCAACCATCTGCTCGTCATGGTGCCCAATCTGCCTTCATCACCCACCCACTTCGCTTGCACACTTGCCAACTTCCAAAAAGGATTGGAAAAGACACAGTGATGACGCTGTCACCCCTGAGACCAGTGAGAGAAAGGAAGGCGCCACGGGGCGGGCACTGAAGGCGAGGGTGGAGGTGAAGGACAGGAATCCTTGTGCCAGAAAAGCAAGGCCGTTCCCTGAGCCGGTGCAGGGCGTGGCGCGAGCCCCCGAGGACCACGGGGAAATGAGGAGCAGGCGTGGCCGAGCCTGCGTCCCTGTGCGGGAACCTTCCCAGGCGGGCGGCAGGGCGGACACTGCCGAGCTCTGAAGAACAGGCACATGTGTTAGAGTCTCTGCGGGAATGACCGCCGCACAATAAAATAGACCGTCATCCCCACACGCTGTCTCCCCAGCACGGCCCGTGGAGGAAGGTGGTGACAAATCACTCGGCTGTGGGGCGGTTTCTGCTGCCGGTGGCAGGAGGCGAGGCCCGGGGAACCCCTGGCTGCCAGGGACACCCCAAGAGCCCACCCGCCTCCAGGAAGCTGTGTCTGAGCATGGACAGCAGATGGGCGTGTCCCAGCTTCTTAAAAATATGTTTTTATTGACTTGAGAGAGAGGAGTGGAGGAGAGAGAGATAGAAACATCAGTGAGAGCGAAACACGGATCGGCTGCCTCCTGCACACCCCCTACTGGGGATCGAGCCCACAACCGGGCACGCGCCCTGCCCGTGACTGCCTGCTGCGTGGGTCAACGCTCAACCACTGGGCCACCAGCCAGGCGTGCTCAGCATCTAAAGCTCTGTGAGGGAACCGCAGTCAGTTCCCGGCCTGGACCAGCTTCAAGGTGCGCTTTTGCAGACAAATAGCTGCCCAGCCTGACCTACCCACACCCCCGCCTCCCGTGGCCGTACGCGCCCACGTAGGAGGGTCGGCCTTCCTTCATTCCTGAGGGCGCCTCGCCTTTGCCGCCCACTCACTCCCCAGGCAGGCTTCCTGCTAGGAGCCGGCGACAGTGCGATGTGGAAGGGGCTCAGAGTCACCTTTGAAACACACTGGAATGCTCATTCTTGCTCACTTGTTATTGTTATGCAGGTCCAACCTTTTTTCCCTTTTTGATGACGTGGACGGCTGCTCCACGCCCCACAACGGGGCCCCGAGTCGGCGTCACTGTTTCTAGTTACTGGACATCCGGACGCAGGTCAGACGCCTGCTCAGTCTCTCGACCCACCACCCCTGAGAGGGCCCTGGGCTACCAACACTGGACGCTGGACGCAGGGTTAGAGACGGCGTCCACTGTGACTTCCTGCCTGCCCTCCCTGGCAGCATCCCGAAAGCATCGCGCTCTCCCCCCCACCTCACCCCACCGCTCTCCCTCCTCCCCCCCCTCTCCCCCGCACTCTCCCTCCCCCCCACGCTCTCCCCCCACTCTCCCTCCCCGCCCCCGCGCTCTCCATGCTCGCCCCTGCGGTGGGGGGGTGGACGGGGGGGGACAGGGGGCGGGGGAACTGCTGGCAAATGTGAGCACAGGTGGCTCAGCCAGTTTGGAACCAGGCAGCGTGCGCTGGGAGGCCAGGCCGGGAACATCCTTCCGCGGGAAGAAAACGTGTCCCAGGCTGTGAGCAAGGCCAGACGGCCGTCCCAGTAGGTCAGCTGCGCCGTGGGACCCGGCTTTTCTTGGGGAGGAAGTGTCTGAAGGAGTGAAATCCAGAATTTCAGAAAAAAGTCTTAGCAGTGACAACCTGGGTTTTGTGCTTTCTGTCCCACAACTTGCAGCAGGCGGGCGGGTGGGCGGGCGGGCGGTAGGGCTGATGTGACAACGTGGTCAGCCCCCTCCCTGGACCCCGCTGCCCCCCAGGGAGGGTGGTGGGTGGTACATGACCTGCTCTGAGCTGGGCTTGGGTTCTGCCCTCTGCTGGTCACGCGACCGAGACTCTGGAACTAAGACGGCTGAGGCTTCCACTCACCCGAGGGCCCGATCACCCTGCCAACATGGGCAGGGCCGGGCAGCACCTTTCCACGGTGCCCAGTGGCCACTCGCAGTCTTTCAGCTCATGAGCGTGTCCCTAAAACACGTGCCCATTGAGAACTCGCAGGCAGCCGCTCTCAGACGCCCCCCTCTGCCTCTGAGAGAGGCTCGAACCATCGCCGGCCCTGGGAGCCTCTGCTGTTACGGGGCTGGCACTGCCTTCAACTTCACATGTAACACGGTGACTCAGTCACAGGCCTGTGTGCCCTCCAGCTGGTCAGGGGCTGCAGGCAAGGGAGAGCCGGTTCCTCTGAGTAGACAGGACTCTGATGGAAGCCTCCCCCAAGGCCTCCTGCCTGGAGCACGTGGGAGTGACTCGGAGGGTGAGGGGCTGTGCCCGAGGGAGACAGTCGGGGGCGCCTGTGGCCGCGTTGACTAGTGCAACTGGCATGTGGACATCTGACGCGGGGCACGGACAGGCATGGGCTCCCTCTCTCCCAGCCACGTCCTCCGCGCCTGGTCCGCAGTATCCCGCCCCTTCCCTGAGCTAGGACCCCGGGCAGAGCTCAGAGACCCCAGTTGAAACGTCCAGTCGCATCCAAACTTCCATCTCACATTGACTGCAAAGCCTCAGACTGTGGGCCTCCCCGGGCCCGGGACCTACCCTGGGAGGGGACATGAGCAGTTCTCTCTCCCCCCTCCTCCCCCCTCTTCTCCTCCTTGGGTCTGACTTCCCTCCTCCAGGGAAGAAAGGGGGATGTCCCAGCGATGCCTTTCACAGAGCAAGTCCCCACCCGGCGGCTCTGGTTAGGGGCCCAGGTGAGCTATTCAGGTCCTGAGGGAAGGGCACAGGTATCCACTGTGGGCACCGCATGCCCTCCTTCACCTGGTGTTTGATATGACAGCAACCTCTGCTTGACCCCTAGTCACTGCGCACAGTAGTCCCACCCCCCGCCTGACTGCGGCGGGCTGTCCCCTGGTCCGGCAGGACATCCCCGTGGGCTCGGAACCTTCAGATATTCTAAGCTTGGTCCTCAAGAGATGCCAGTCCTGGCCAGATGAGGCGGGTGTGGTGACAGTCACTGCTGCCCTCTCCCTGCCCGCCTCACCCTCAAGGTGGCTCCAGTCTTCAGAGATCCCGGTCAGGAGGGGCACGGGGCCCTGTGCCCGCAGGCCCCCCACTCCCCTCGGGGCTCTGAGAAGCCTCCAGCCAGGAGACACCAGCCTCCCCTTCCCACAGGAGCCCCCGACCAGCCCTGTGAGGCTCCGTCGCGGCCCCATTTGACTTGAGGTCTTGGGGATGGGGCTCCCTCCCTCCTCCTGGGCCCCTGGGGTGGGGAAAGCCATAGCTCTGCCCCGAGTTCCCTTTGTTCTTGGCAATTCTCTCCTTATACCTGAGCCTTCTGTGGACATGCTAGTCAGTGAAGAGGGGACGATTACAGAATCCACGCGTGATGTCTCTGGGTCCTGTGGGTGCATCTGGCGGATCCTGTCTGGAGCGTGAGGGGCCTCCTGGCCTCACCTGGGGCTTTAGCCAGATTCCCAAGCAAGAGGAACCCCTTCCTTTTCTGTCCCATTCGCGAAGCTGTGAGCAGGCTCCCATCCCGCGCTGCTGCCGCTGGGGGCGCTGTGGCGGGGACAGTTGCACAGGTAGCCCTGCAACAGCACCCATGCCCTCTGCCCCTGGGTCTGCCCAGTGTGGCATCCTCAGATGTTGCCAAACCTTCGAGGAGCGGGAGGTGGGACAGCAGCACTGTCCCCTGGTGAGAGCCACTGCTCAGCAGACAAAGGGAAGTCAGGGAAATTGCTGAGGAGGAATCCCCAAGGCCCGTGATGGCGAACCTTTAGAGCTCGGCGTGTCAGCGTTTTGAAAAACCCTAACTGAACTCTGGTGCCGTGTCACATATAGAAATTTTTTGATATTTGCAACCATAGTAAAACAAAGACTTATATTTTTGATATTTATTTTATATATTTAAGTGCCATTTAACAAAGAAAAATCAACCAAAAAAATGAGTTCGCGTGTCACCTCTGACACGCGTGTCATAGGTTCGCCATCACTGCCCTAGACCGAAATCCAAGATCGTGCGGTGCTTCACTGAATGGTATGAACAGAGTGTCGAGGCCAAGAAGTGTTTACTGTGCACGTGACGTTTTAAGTGACCCCTCCTATGCACAAAATGCTGTGGCAACCCCGCCTCGGTCGCCCCGCCAGCCGCGGAGGCAGGAGGGCCGCGTGCCCCGGGGAGCTGTGACTATGACTGGAGCCCAGCCCTGGCTCCTGCAGGTTCGAGGTGCCCTGCGGAAGCTGGGCGGGGAGGCCCCTGCCCTCAGGGAGCACAGGTCTGCACACAGTAGGGCTGGGAGGGCGAGAGGCTAGGAGGGTCTCTTTCCCCTCTAAGAGCAGGTGACGTGGGTTAGGTAATAATGGAAACTAAAGTGGGTGGACTCTGGTCTTGCCCAAGAAACTTCCCGTCAAGAGACCATCTTTGCTTGGCCTTATGCTTGATGTCCCCCCCACCCCCCACCCCGGCCCAGACCAGGCTCTGTCTGCTTATTATTCTTAGGAGGAAAAAACAAGCAGAAAAACCAGCTGCCTCAGCCCAGCCACTCCGCGCCCGACCCGGGCACTGCTCCCACTTCTGGGACGGTTCGCTCCAGCACCACGGGGGGCAGATGTGTGAGGTCATTGCTCGTCCGCTTGCTTTCCGTGGGAAGTGAAAAATAATGCGAACACCCATATGCACAGGGGCCGGTTAGCTTTCCAAGAACTTCCGGAAAGGTCCCGCCCCTTAGAGAGCGAGAAGGCTGTCCTCTGACATTCAGAACTCCCCCCCACAAAGGCCTGTGCGTAGAAAGGGTTCTTTATTATAAACATCACATTCCAGGGCAGGAAGGGTCGGTGGGAAGCGGGGGAGCCTGGGCAGGACGGGTCCCCACACAGCTGCCCGGAGCTCCGCCAGGCGGGAGGCGGGCCGGGGGCTCAGGTGACCTGCAGCGGGGTCTCCAGCATCTCCATCAGGAAGGTGTCGATGGGCGTGTCCCCAATGAGCTTGAAGAAGAAGAGGTGCTCCAGGCACTTCAGGCCGATGGAGCGCAGGGCGGGCAGGCGCAGCAGCAGCTTGGCGAACCTGCGGAGACCGGGAGGGTCAGGGCCCCGCACAGCCCAGGGACAGGGCCAGGGTCCGTCCTCTGGGCACCGGTGATGGAAGAGGGAGCCTGGCAGGGATGAGGGCACCAGAGAACCTAACCCCAGGGGGCGGCAGAAAAGGCTGGAGGGGAGGTGTCTTCTTAGAGGGACACGTCCGATGAGAAGAGTTCAAATGGAGTGTTAGCATCCTGGAAACATGTATGTTTCTGTGTTCATGCCACAAGGAAATGTGTCAACACAGAAAAATAGAACAGCACCAGCTGCTTCTCTACACGGAAAAACGGAGGTCTGTACCAAGGCCAAAACAGACCTCCGGAAGTGTGGTCACACGGCGCCGAGCGCGCGTGAAAGGTGCTGCGTGCGGCGAAGAGCGGCTGGGTCAGCAGTCAGGAAACTGCGGCTCGCGAGCCATGGAGCCACGTGCGGCTCTTTGGCACCTTGAGTGTGGCTCTTCCACAAAATACCACGTGTGGGCGCGCACGTACAGTGCGATTGAAACTTCGTGGCCCATGTGCAGAGGTCGGTATTTATTTTGTGGAAGAGCCACACTCAAGGGGCCAAAGAGACACATGTGGCTCGCGAGCCGTAGTTTGCCGACCACTGGGCTGGGTGAAGGGGGAGGCTGAGCCGGGTGGCCGCACCAGAGGCTTTTACAGAATTTGGCAAAGGACACAGCTTCTCTAGAAAGTGCACTTAGACGAACGCTGGAAATGCTGTTTTACTCTAGAAGTGCCTGTTTTACAGCCTGTAACATGCCGAGATACTGTGCTATGGCTCCCTTTGCCGTCTGTCCTGGAGGTTGGAGCTGAGGTGGGGACCAGGGAACTAAGAGGTTCACAGTCACAGCCAGGGGTCTGCCTGCTGTCCCGCCTCCGGAGCCGGCCCCCCCAGGGCGGAGCGAGACCCCGTGGCGTGTGTTCTGAAGCGTCCACAGGGTGGCAGCGCTGCACCACTGAGAGCCAGGCCTCCCCGCCCCTGGATGCCCTCCTCCCGTCACTGCAAACCAGAGGCGACCTCAGCACTTTCCTACCTGGCTGAGCCCAGGGCCATCCCTGATGGAGCTGCTCAGCCTCAGGGTGGTCACCTTGGGTGTCCACACCCCAGGGACACCCAGGGGCCCAGCCTCTGCACCCCTCCCTGAACTCCCCAGCTCTGCCCAAGCCCAGGCCCCTGGCAGCCCCTTCAGGGAAAAACGGTCAAGTGGCCGCATTTTCTAAGTGAGTCATTAGGAACAGCCGGAATGCCAAGCGAGTCAGAACACACTCCCCCCACCCAACTCGTGAAATCCCACAAAGTCGTCCGAAGCGACGATGTGGTTTTTAACACTTGATGAAACACCGAAATGGCTTTGGGAGGGAGAGAGCCCGCCAGGCTGTGTAGCTTCAGGCTGTAAACGCTCCTTGTCTACACAAGGAGACTGGAAGGAAACATACCCCAACATTTACAACCAACTTTTACTACCTGTTTTATGTTTTAAAAACGTTTTCCTTGTTTCCTACCAAAGCTTGCTCTGCTTTTATAATAAGGAAAAGGCAAGGTTTGGTTTTCTGGGGGTTGTCTTTTGCTGTTGGGTTTTGGGGTAGTTGTTCGTTTATTTGTTTGTTTTTTGGTTGGTCGGTTTAAGGTAGAGACCGGACTAGAGCCATTCTGAGCTTCTCCCAACGCCTGCACACGGTGTGTGCTCAGGAACGGGTAGGTTGTCTCAGGGCTGGATTCAGCAGAATCCCCACAGGCCGCGCTTCCCCGGGGCTGAGGGCACAGGCACCAGGCCTGGTGTTGGGCCCTTCATCTCACCTGCGGCAGGAGACACCAGGAGTCCGCCAACCCCCTGCCCTCCCTCCGTGGCTGTGGTACTCGGTGGCCACGTGACCAAGTTCTCACCAATGGAAGTGAGTGCAGGGAGGGGTCTTTCCAGAGGGAGAGGCTGCCCACGGCGCCCCACCTCTGGCTCACCCACCCTAATGCCCGTTATTGTGCCCACTGGCTGAGGCCCACCGCTTGGGGCGACTCACAGACTCCCGCAGACAGTGGGCAGGAACTGGCGGGGGACCCAGGAAAATGGCTTCGCAGAAATCAGCCCTCACCCCGTCACTGCGAGAACTGGGAGCCTAGAAAAGTAATGCTGAAACCAAACTAATGTCTTCAAGGCAGTTTTTCAGGTTCTGCTTTCAGTTTCCTATGAGATTTGAGCTGTGAGCTGGCCGAGGAGGGGAACTTTCACTGAGCTGTGCTTTGGGGGAAACATCTGAGAACATAGTTTAATGGCCTGGGCGACGGCCAAGTGGTCTGAGAGCTCCTGGACACGTCCTTCTCAGACAAGGAGCCCAGGCCCAGACCAGCAGGGCAGCCGGGACCAAAGGTCACCACTGCTGGCTACCAGAGCCGTCTCGGGCGGGGGTGCGGGGCAGGCAGGCCATGCAGTCCCTGGCAACCCCAGCCCTTTGGCACCAGGGAGGCCTAGGCTCCTGTCCAGCCACCCCCCAACCACCCCCTGCACTCCCTCCCCCGCACCCCAGCTCTGGGACCTTGGGCAGCTCCTGACCTTTCTGAGCTCCGTGACTGGTCAGAAATCAGAGATAATGAGACCCACCCATTCATGGACGAGCTTGTGCGTCCAGCGCTTAAAGACGAGCCTGTCGGCACGGCCTGGGCTCTGCTCCCCTGAGCTCGCCGAGGAGATTCAGTCCCATTTGGGAACAACCTCGCCCGTGCCTGCCGCCCACTGCCCGTCAGTGCGGTGAGGACGGGACACCCGTCACGGCCAGGCCTCCAGCGCCTCACCTGCCCGGCTGGTCCGGGTACTTCTGCTTGGTGTAGGCCTCGAGGGTGGCGTAGACCTTCTCCCGAAGGGTCTCGACCTCAGAGGGGTTGGACAGACCCTTGGCATCTGGAACAGATGACTGATTTAAGCTCCGGTGATGCCCTCCGCAGAGGCGGCCCCGCCCCGCAGGCCAGCTCCCCTGGAGTCACCAGACGCCCACAGGAGGGAGCACCTGGGAAACAATGACCCCAGACTGTGGGGGCCAAGGTGCCCACTGCCGCCTCTCAGGAGTTTTACCTCATCTGGCCATTCCAGAAACAGTCCCTTCACGTGTGGGCCTACTGTGCGCTAAGCATGGACTCAATGATGAGATGGTACAAAGCCAGAGACCAGGTCCCGCATCAGTGAACTGAGGGCCAACTACGGATCCCAGAGCCCATCTCCCCCTCCCCCCAACCACACGCGTCTGGGAAGCTGCACCCCTCCTGACACCTCCTCTTCCTGCCTGCAGGCCACCAGGACACCATCGCTGCTCCCACCTGTCTCCCTGGTGTCCCTTCTCGGGCGCTTTCTGAATCTTCCTCTCCCCCAGCCTCCAGGCACCAGGCCAAACACAGTCCTGGTTCCCACCCCCCGCCCCATGCCCTATCTCCATCAATGAGAACTCTACTCTCCCACCTGTTCAGGGAAACGAAGCCAACAGCTCTGAGAACTATATCTAACACCTCTCTTCCTCCCACATCAGCACATCGACACCTAATCCATCGGCAAATCCTGTGGGCTTTGCCTAAAATTCCATGCGGACTCTGACCACCTCCCTCCCTGCCACCCAAGGCCACTGCCATCTCTCCTCTCCCCCGACCCAAACACCCACACCCACTCAGGATTCTCCAAGACAGCGCTGGGAGTGGAGGCCATGAGGAGCTGGCCCCGTGCCCACCCGGGACAGCATCCTGGCCCTGCGTCCCTGTCCTGGCTGAGCTCAAGGCCCGGCGTGCCGGTGCTGCGCTGAGCGCCCCACCACGCCTCACCTGGGTTAAACAGCACGATGGCGCGCAGGCACCCCAGCTCCGACTTGTCCATCTGCATGTCTTTCATTTTGGAGACCAGCTCGGTCAGGACTCTGTTCCCAGGAAACACGGCAGGCGACAATGAGATCAGGACAGTGAGCGCGAGCGACATCTCTTATGCACCCGCCCCATTTCCAGACCATGCACCAGGGACCAGGGCGTGGAGGGGAGAAGGTGTGGCCCCTGATCTCAGACATGGAAGCACACGCAGCCAGGTAAAGCCAGGAGCCACCAATAGCCAAGCCCAAGGGCACACCGGTGGCGGGTGACACAGGCTGGAGAGGCAGCCTGGAGTTGGAAATCAGTAGAAATGCAACAGGCCGAGCAGAGGGCCTGCATGCCGAGAACACGGGGGGACTGCACGCAGTGGCCGGAGAAGCCCACAGGCCAGGACGGGGCCGGAGCCCACAGAGGACCAGGAGGGAATGACACGTGGTGGGAATGACACAGGAGAGGAGACACGAGGTGGACATCACGTGGCCACGGACCGACTGTGATGGAGCTGGGCAGGGGCCCGGGGGGCCTTGCACTTGGACGGAGACCTCCTCTCTCCTGTCCTCCATCCTCTCACCTGAGCCATTCACCTCTCATTTCACTCGCCCCCTGAGCACAGGGCTGATTCCCTCAGCAGCATTTAGGACACAAAACCCCAGACGGAGGCCGTCACCACCTGACCTGAGATCCTGCCACAGAGCCCAGCAAACCGCGGCCTGGACTCCTCGGGTCCAGTCCTGGCCCCTGCCCATCCCTGCCCCAGGGAGAAGCAGGTCAACACCCCGGCCCCAACTTAGCAGGTCATGTCGACCACCAGCCTCTCCTCTGGAACCCACAGGGGTCACGGGTCCCCCTCTGCGCGCGCCTGTGCTGGCGCTGACCCGCTCCACCTCGCGGTCTCAGCCTTTCTCTTAATCCTCCCTCAGCCTCCAGGCCCACGTTCTCACTGGCTTCCTGGTCTCTGCTTCTAGCCACGGGCGGCTCTTGGCTCTGTCTATCCACATCCTGTCACTGCCCACAGCACACGTGCACACACGCATACACACGTGCACATACAGAGGCACACACACAGTGACGCAGAAGCCACACCTGTCAAAGATGGAGCCCACGCCAGCACTGTGGGCGCTGCTCCGGTGCACGTGCAGCCCGGTGGCCAGGAGAATGCCGTCCTGCACGGAGACCGAGCGGTGGGAGAAGGAGGCGATCAGAAGCTCGTTCCACCCTGTGGGGCGAGAGGAGGCTGTGAGGGCCCCCGACCAGTCTCGCTTCATGGAAATCACCCGGGGAACAAAGCCGAATCGGAAGTGCAGGGAGGTGAAATGCCGGGGTCCCCTGGCTCGTGGCTCCCCCAGTCTCCCCGGTGCAGCCCGGAAGGCCAGCTTGAGGACAGGGCTCTGCTTCCCCCCGTCAATCAGCAAATATGGACTGAGCATGGAACAGGGCCAGCGCTGTGTTAGCTGTCACCGCGGGGGGCGGTGGGGGGTTGGCTCATAGCGGGCTGGTGTCTGTGGGGTGTCTAGCGGCGCTGGCACAGCGCGGAGCTCTGGTCACGGCCACTGCGGGCTCCTTATCTAACAGGGACGTGGCTCCCGGCCTCCGCCAGTCTTCATAGCGTCCGCCTGCGGGCTCAGTGATGAAGAGACCTGGCAGGTGTCAGCTGCTCCGTGCCCAGAAATGGAAGCCACCGAGGGCGCGGCACAAAGAACCTCAAAATAGGAAGGGCCCGGCTGCATCTAGGACTCGCCTGAGCCTGAGTGGGTGGCTCCGCGCCTCCCTGTGAGGTGGGAATGCCTGTACTTTCCGATTTCAGAGCAGTGATGGGGCGTGGCGTCAGGCGGGCCTCAACCAAAAGGACTGAACTGTCTTCAAAAGTTAGACGCGAGCTACGGAGCCCAGTAAAATTCACGAGGAAGAGTCCCTGCTCCACTCACAGAGACTGTCCCTGGGGATTGGGAGGTCTCCGAGACTGAGGGCCTGCGGGTCACCCAGAGAAAGGGCCGCCCTGGCGAGCGATCCTGCCGTCAGCGTGGACACAGTCGGGCGGGTTGAGGGTCCCGGTCCCGGGGGAACTTCCAGTGGCAGCCCCAGCGACTGTGCCGATTGTGCCGAGAAGCGAGGGCCCCACAGCCCTACCTGCGCGGAGCAGGATGACCTGGTCCTCCAGCGAGAGGCCTGAGAAGTGGGGGATGCGCTTGGCCCACTCGACCAGGGTGAACAGCTGCTTGTCGGCCGCGTGGCAGATGTTGGTGACAGGGTCGTTGGTCTGAAACGGGACAAGTTCTGAGGCTGGAATCGGGGCCCCAGCACACCCTCCGCCTCCAGGCCGGGGAGCGGCGGTGCCCAGGGCACATACCGAGCTCTCCATGCTCATGTCGCCGTAGGACTCTGTCTTCGGCTCGACGGCCAGTTCCGCCTCCAGGATCCTCTCCACGGGCATGCCTTCGTGGGCGCCCCCCGCGCACTCCGCCTCGCTCTCTGCCCGCTCCCGGCTCCTCTGCCTCTCCTCCTGCACGGCTGGCACACAAAGGACACAGATGGCACCCGGTGCCGGGACAGCGCTGGGGAAGGGGCGACCTGCCTACGCCTCCTGTGTAAGCTGGGCGTCACCTCAGCGCTGAATCGGGGTGCTGCGATGCTGGCAGATGCTACCTGCTCACACCTGTGCGGGTCTGCGGGCCCAGAGTCCATGTCCTCCCCAGTTGGGTGGCGACGCCACTAGACACCCCCACAGACACCAGCCCGACCCTGAAACTCTGACCACCTCTGATCTGCCCTCTCTTCACGAGCCGCTCTCCCGTGCCCCGCGGCCCTCCTCCCTCCCGCTGCCCTCCAGTAAGCCCTGAGCTTGCAGGGGCTAAGGGGGAGGCCCCTCGCCTTGCCCTCCTGCCCATCAGGGCCCAGGCAGCACCCTTGGCATTCACATCCCATCAGCTCTGCCCGGGCAGCAGCCTGAGCACAGGGCACCTGATCCGCGTCAGAGATGCTCTTCGGGGCCGTGGGGGGTTTGTAAGTCACCCGGATGGCATTCCAGACCCAAGGCTGATTGGGGGGGGGGGGGGGCCGGAACCTGGGCAAAGCTGGAGCTGCAGTGACCCCACCGCCCAAGCTGAGCGTTTCCATCGCCTCCTGGCCCCGCGCGCCCCCCCCACCCCACGCCTCTGGGTCTGTGCGTGGGCGTGAGGCCGATCACGGCCCTGTCCTCCCACAGCATCGCGGTCATGTCCATCCCCAGGAAGCGCTGGTGTCCGCCCCTCACTCCAGAGCACAGCAGAGTCAGCACTGCTCAAGCCCCAAGAAGGACATGGTCGCTAAGCGGGTGGCTCGCGTGGGACCCAGTGGCTCACGTGGCCGCTCCACTGGCCACTCCGGCCTCTTGCTTCCCTCCCTCCCTCCCTCCTGCCACCGTCCACGCCCCAAGCTGCTCTCTGACCGGAACCCGGGCGGGACCCCTGACCTGTCCTGCCAGCGAGGCCCCTGGTCTCCGACAGGAGGAGGAGGGCATAAGGCAGTGATGGCGAACCTTTTGAGCTCGGCGTGTCAGCATTTTGAAAAACCCTAACTTAACTCTGGTACCGTGTCACATATAGAAATTTTTTGATATTCCAAACTGCAACCATAGTGAAACAAAGACTTATATTTTGATATTTATTTTATATATTCAAATGCCATTTAACAAAGAAAAATCAACCAAAAAAATGAGTTCGCGTGTCACCTCTGACACGTGTGTCATAGGTTCGCCATCACTGGCGTAGGGTCTCGCCCCCCACAGCTCCTGGGTGGACCCCCCAGCAGCCTCGGAAAACGGTCTTCAGTGGGGGGTGGGCCAGGTGGGAGGGCGGGAGCCCGGGAACCAAGGAGAGAGGACAAAGCAGGGGCAGGGGGAGGAAGAGACACAGGAAAAGGAAGAGGAGACAGCAGGAGAGAGGAGGAGAGCAGCGTGCGGGGCAAAGCATCTTTTCAAAAACGGCCTCCACCACTGCCCGGCCAACGACAGCAGACACAGCCTCAGTTTCCCCGGATGGGAGGGGGACTGTGGCCCTTGACTGAGCTTGGCTTGTGAGGAGTAATGAGATAATTACAAAAAGTTCACCGGGTGGGTATTTCCTCTTCCGGCCGCTCCGTACCCCCCGGGCTTCTGCCCAGCCGGCCCATCTCCTGATGGGTCCTTCCTCCTGCAGGTCCCCCTCCTCTCTCCTCCTTCCTGTCCCCGTGGGTCCTCACTCACCGCCAGTGCACAGACCTGTCACACGCACTCATCATCAGCTGCATTTACTCGTTAAAGTTGAATGCGCCTTGTGTTAATTTTTCAAGGTTCGTTAAAAGCCAGGAGAGCAGTGGGGGGAAGCCCTCTGTGGCCTCAATGGGTTTCTGCCGCAGTCGGGCTCTCAAGGAAAATCGCCTGCAGGCCTCACAGGAGGGGACCTGGGCCTCGGGGGGCAGCTCTATTCCCCACCCTTCTCCATGAATGGCATGACCCGGGGCCGCAGCACGTGCTGTCCTGCTGTCCTGCTGTCCTGCCCGAGGAGTCAGTCTGCTGGTGGGGCGTCTGCTTGGCAGACATTCTGAGCTGCTGCCCCATCAGGGCACATCCAGGGGGCGCCGGGTGACCTCACATAGCACCCATGTCCCGCCTTAGCCCAGACCGCCCAGCCCTCAAACGTAAGTAGCTATCCAGTGTGAATGAATCTAAAGCATACCTTTTTTGGGTCAGGTTAGCCCAAAAAATACTATGCTTTTTGATGTGCCACAGAATTTTAGTGATGGGTTACTGGGTGCTGTGAGATGAACAAAGTTGAAATCGCTGCTTCAGTTCAATCATATGCACTTAACACAAAGGATTGTTTCTCCACGTCACCCTGAAGCTGGTCTCACCCGCCCTGGGGGCGACCGGCCGCATACACCAGCCCTCTGGCCGGCGGGAGGTGCTGTGGGTCATGAGTCTCCCGTGCTGGCCGCAGGGCAGTGGCGGCCACTCTGGAGGAGCACAGCGCCCGCAGCTGCTCCCGCCTCCGTCTCCCAGCCTGTGGCCACTGAGGGCGGCGGCCTGGAGGGGAAGTGGGCCTGACCCAGTGCGCCTCGCCCTCCCGGCGCCCTCGCCGATAGGGGTGGGAGCCAGGAGCAGCGGGAGGAGCGAAGAGTGTGGCCGCTGGGAGTGTGGTGAGAGCAGATGGAGCAGGGAGAATAGACTCTATCCCAGTGGTTCGCAACCTCGGCTGCACATGAGAATCACCTGGGAATCCTTTTAAAATCCTGATTTCTGGGCCTCATCCTCCAGAAATTCTGTTTCTGTGTGATGGGGTGGGGCCACAACATTAGTAACAAAGAAACAGAATTTCCGGAGGATGAGGCCCAGAAATCAGGATTTTAAAAGGATTCCCAGGTGATTCTCATGTGCAGCCGAGGTTGAGAACCACTGGTCTAGAGTCAGACACCGCTTGAGGGAGAGATGCGATGTCTGCCCATCGAGTGTGGTGTATCAGAGAAATGGGGTCCAGTGGTTTCTGGTCTGAGCGGCTGGGAAATGGCCACTTCCTAAGACGGGGGGACTGGGGGCCAGAGTATCAGGAGCCCAGGTTTGGGTCTGCGGATCTGAGAATCGTCAGACGTTACAGGGGCGTCCAGTCCCAGCCAGGGGAGCCCTGCTCATTACTGTCTGGAGCCTGGGTCACGGTGCCCCTCACCCGCTCACCCCAGCCCACCTCCCCAGCTGGCGAACGGCTGATTAGGTGCTTCTCCATCGGACACACTGAGGCTCCCGGGGCTCAGTCCTCAGGTAGCATTCTCTCGCAGCAGCGCTCGGACCCTCTCCCTCCTCGTTGGGTGTCAGGGCCGGCCCCCCTCACAGGCAGATCTACGGGCTGAGGCGCCACCGGGACTGACCGGACGCCCATACCCACTTCAGCAGACAGACATGACTGCGGTCACTGCAGCCGCCCCTCCACCTGCTTCCCAGGGGCCCTGCATTTGTCACGTGACCCCGCGTGTTTCTGGGCCTGCGCCCTGGGGGAGGCCTACCTTCCCGCTTCATGCCCATGACCAGGCACTTCTGGTAGCGGCAGTACTGGCAGCGGTTGCGCTGGCGCTTGTCGATGAGGCAGTCCTTGTTGTCCCGGCAGGTGTACAGCAGGTCCTTGCGGATCGTGCGCTTGAAGAAGCCTTTGCAGCCCTCACAGCTGTACACGCCGTAGTGCTTGCCTGCGGGGAGAGCAGCCACGTGTGTGCCTGCTCCTCTCACCCCTTCTCCTCCCCCCACCCCCACCCCAACCCCCAGAAACTGGCCTATCCCATGGCAGGAAGCAAAGATGACCCTCGGAGAAGCCCGAGGCCTGTCCCAGCCCCACACTGAGCCCCTGTCCCAGCCCCACACTGAGCCCCTGTCCCAGCCCACACTGAGCCCGAGGCCTGTCCCAGCCCCACACTGAGCCCCTGTCCCAGCCCACACTGAGCCCCTGTCCCAGCCCCACACTGAGCCCGAGGCCTGTCCCAGCCCCACACTGAGCCCCTGTCCCAGCCCCACACTGAGCCCCTGTCCCAGCCCCACACTGAGCCCGAGGCCTGTCCCAGCCCCACACTGAGCCCCTGTCCCAGCCCCACACTGAGCCCCTGTCCCAGCCCCACACTGAGCCCGAGGCCTGTCCCAGCCCCACACTGAGCCCCTGTCCCAGCCCCACACTGAGCCCCTGTCCCAGCCCCACACTGAGCCCTTAGGGCCTGTCCTGATGCCCATCCCAGCCGTGCTTCGGGCCACCAATCCCGGGAGCGATATTAGAAAGGTCCTGAGCTTAGGTTTGTTTGCATTTACTGTATCAGGCAACTCAGTATTTAGTTACAACACGTTCTGCCTCCGTGGAGCCCTCAGTGTCCTTAGTAAAGCATTTCTTCTTCTTGCAGGAGGCGCTCAGCCTCACTGACTTTTCCCCAGAGTGAGGTCCAAAGACGTAGGGACCCCCCTCTCAAAAGTGTCTTCCTCTCTCTACACTGAGCCGCCTCTGGCATGAGCTTTCCCACGCTCCTGCCAATGGGAGAAATAAATCGGTGCCCGGTCTTCCTAGCTCCCTGTGCGGCCTGGAGCTGTGCCTGAGGCCGATGGGAGGCAGCTGTGCTGGACCCGGAACAATTCCCCTCCCCACCTGCCCCCCATTGCAGCTCCCGTGCCCAGTGCCAGGCTAGTTAGCGCCGGGAGAGCCCGCACCCCCCCCCCCCAGGCGTCGACCCCCAAGCGCACGTACCTGAGGACCTGTCCCCGCAGATGGCGCAGATGTGCTTGACCAGGGGCCCGGGGCTGGTGGACGGGTAGTTCATGGTCCCGAGCCCGGGGAGCCCGGCCAAGGGCTTGACGTCCTCTGAGAGGCTGACCCCGTTGACCACATTGAGCTGCAGGAGAGAAAGTGCAATGACTGAGGAGCCCGCCGCCGGCCGAGGCGAGGCCCGCAGGGAGCTCGGGCTGTTGGAGAGCCGGCTCCGGGCAGCGCGCAGGGAAGGCCTGTGTGCCGGGCGGGCTGGGAGAAGAACAGGCGAAGCACGCATGTTTCTCACTCTCCAGTGAGCGCAGATTCCGTGGAGCCAGCGTCGTCGGCTTCCTCCCCTGGCGCCCGCCCTGGGCTGGCCCGCGGGGAGCTGGCCCGTGTGAGCGTCCGAACACGGCCCTGCACGCACCCCTCGCCCGTCACTGGCAGCGTCCGCTCCGCGTGCCCCCGCGGCCGGAGCCACGGCTGAGGGCTCAGTGCTCTTCCCAGAGGAGGAGTCAGCAGAGCTCTCCGGCCGCCCTCGGTGCCCTGGGCACAGCTCACCTCTGGGCAGTGAAGGGAGAGACAGCGTCTGCAAGACCCGTCTCTGTTCCTTGTTCCTACACAGGCCAGCCTGGCAGGAGGAGGACAGGCCCCCTGAGACAACACACGTGACACAGGTGACGGGCGGGGTGTCGGAGTGGCTGTGGGGGTGATGGAGGTGGGGTGTTGGGGTGGCCATGGAGGTGAGGGGGGTTTGGGGTGGCTGTGGGGGTGAGGGGGGTGTTGGGGTGGCTGTGGAGGTGAGGGGGGTGTTGGGGCGGCTGTGGAGGTGAGGGGGGTGTTGGGGTGGCTGTGGAGGTGAGGGGGGTGTTGGGGTGGCTGTGGAGGTGAGGGGGGCATTGGAGTGGCTGTGGAGGTGAGGGGGGTGTTGGGGTGGCTGTGGGGGTGAGGGGGGTGTTGGGGTGGCTGTGGGGGTGAGGGGGGTGTTGGGGTGGCTGTGGGGGTGAGGGGGGTGTTGGGGTGGCTGTGGAGGTGAGGGGGGTGTTGGGGTGGCTGTGGAGGTGAGGGGGGCATTGGAGTGGCTGTGGAGGTGAGGGGGGTGTTGGGGTGGCTGTGGGGGTGAGGGGGCAGAGGGTTGGAGTGGCCATGGAGGCAGCTGGTGACCCCTTGCGGGTGGAGGGGTCCCTGCCCTCTGTGCGGTCCAGGTGGCTGTGAGGCATACGTCTAACCCGGTGACTGCGATTCTCACACAACCAAAGGTGGTTTTCTTCCCGAGCCAAGGCCTCTGGGGCAGAAGGAATGACGGATGAACATAAACTCAGAGCCCGAGGGAAGTGCCTTCCCTTCCCCCGCGTGCACGTCACTCAGCCCCGGTCAGCGAGCGCAGGGGGTGGCAGCAGTGCAGTGAGGAGGCCGGGACACAGCCGCTGCCCTTGCTCTGGACCGAAGTTGCCGGGAAGTTTTTTAATTGATGTACGTGAGCCCTGGCTGATGCTCAGCTGGTTCGAGCATCGTGGATCTGCAAGGGCGCAGGCGCGATCTCCGGTCAGCACACGTGCAAGAGTCAACAATGAATGCAGCAGCGAGTGCAACAACAAATTGCTGTTCCTCTCTCTCTATCTATATATCTCCTCCCCCCCCCTCCCCGCCCCAGCTCCTTCCCTTCCTCTCTTTATACAGGCATCTCCACCGTATGCCCAGTTTGGTTTGCTGTAACACAGCAAGCCCTGCATGTACCCTGGGAGCCTGGACATAATCTGATGCCTGGACCCGCCCAGAGTTCAGAGCCAGTGGGTCCGCGGCCCTCGGCACGGCCTTGTGCTAAGTTGACCGGGGAAAGGGGTGCGGCCAGGACTGAGCATCACCATGCAGCGGGGATGGCGTCCCTGCGGAGCCTCCGGCCCGATGCCTCCACGCTGCGCGTGTGGCCTGCAGGACTCAAAGAAGGCCCTGGTCGTCTCTGACTCGGTTCCCTGGTCTGTACACTGGGCACGGGAGCACCTCACAGAGCTGCGGGCGGGCCGGTGGGATAACGGTGTAAAGGGCCGCCCTTGGTGCCCGGCACACGGTCATTCCAGGGAAACCGGTCTATTCAGACAGGAACTCCGAGTGTTTGTCAGGGGCCCGCATTCCACAACGTGCTAGGAACGGGGCCATGCAGAGAGGCCACACGCGCCCAGGGACTGAGGATTCCGCTTCTTAGCTGGGGGGATGTCAGGAAACTATCTAAGGTTGTCAGGATACTGGGTCGCGATCATTTCTGGGCATGTGACCCACTGCGGTGCGCACTGATTTTTAAGAAACGGGAGGCTTCCTATCAGTGTGAATCCTGGGCAACATCCTGTGCCTCGAGAAACAACAGGAGCACTCAGGTCCACCCTTGAAATGGGAGCATTTTAGGTCAGATGACCCCAAAAAAGAGCCCTCTAGCTGATGAGGGTCCTGTCCCCTAGTCCTCAGATGAGCGTAAAGGTCAAGGGCATGAGGAAGCCCCGCCACCTGGGCTCAGGAGCCCGTCACCGGCCTTCCCTCCCACCCGGCCCCCCAGGCCAGGTGCACCCCTGCGGCCTGCAGAGATCACGAAGCAGCACTTACTGGTGTTGCTGCCATCAGTGCCACCGTCTCTGGGAAGCTTGCTCAACGCTAATTAAGTATTTAATCTTCACAACAACCCCATGGGGTCTTCCTACTTTCAGATGAGGAAATTGAGCCTTAACATGTTTTATTCATTTATTCCTTCAGCAACCCTGTGGGGGCACAAGAAGAAAGGCACACAGGCACTGCCTCAGGACCTGGCCACCAGTGAGACGAAAAGTCAGGGTAGTTTAAGAAGAAAGATCACGAGCAATTGATATCAGGGAAGACTTCCTGGAGGAGGCGGCATCTGAGCTGGGACTGGACAGCCTTCACCAATGGGCAGGGTTAGGATGGGCCAGTGATGGGCAGAAGGCTGTGAGCACCAAGGCCTGTAAGGAAGCCCCGGTGTGTGTCTGGTGGGTGGATGGGGATGCAGGGGGGCGGCTGTGACAGAGCCCGGGCTTGACTGCCTGGCTCAGGGGGGCGGATTGAGGTCGGGAGGCCATGAGGAGCCACTGGAGGTTCTGAGCAGAGGAACAATGTCCTCCACCTAGGGCAGCAACACGGGGGAAAGCCTGGGAGACGCACAAGCTGTCGCACCTGCCCAGGTGCCTTCCAGACCCAGCAGGTGGAAGGAACGGCTCCTGGACCCTGGGGCCCCCTGGCCCTGGCAGCTGCCTGCCCGCCTCCCTGGCAGGAGCCCCTCCTGAGTCTGGTGGTGGGAAGGGGTGGCTGGGACCGGGGGTGGCTGCTCCCTTCTCCGACAGCCTGTCTTGCTTGGGGTTTGTTTGCCCTGAGCAGGGGAGATGAGATCGAAGGCCGCCGCCTCCTTGCATTGGGAGCAGCCCTGCTGAAGGGAGCACCGGGGGTAGGGGAGCAGCCCCAGGCTCTGGCTGCTCCCTGAGCAGGAAAGAAACCGTCTGGATCGCCGAGGAGCACAGAGGCCCACATTTCTGAGCTGTTTTCAGCCCAAATGACCCCACTGAAGGCAGGTGTGTGGCTGGCGGCTACAGGAAGCCCTCCCTTCCTATGACTCCCAGTTAACCTGGTGAGGGTCATGGCCATGAAGACCGAGGCCCTCCCTGGGGAAGGAGGAGCCTGAGGCCAGACCCACCGCTCCCTCACCGTGCCCTGCTGCACGACGGTGCCAGGTCACGTCCCAGAGACTCCGGCTCCCGTCACACAGGCAGAGGGGCTCAGACACGGAGGGTGTGGGTGGCAGGTGAGCGGGAGGGAGGTAGACTGAGAAGGGGTCACACTCTGGCCGGGGTTCAGCCAGACCTGTGTTTATTTGACATGAATATTAGGCTTTCAGACAGGATTTCACTAGAAAAGATGTTATGGCCTAAATTTCCTTTCATCATGAGGCAAGAGGGTCTGCAAGATCTGCTCTTGCTCCAACGCCTGCATTTGTTACAAGGATGCAAACATCTGCCAGGGGAGGGACAGCACCGATCCCCACCTGGGCAGGAACAGGTGCGGACGGGACCCAGTTAGGCAGCAGGGCCAGGAGGGGTCAGAGGGAGCGTGCCGGGGACACACAGGCCTGCGCCAAGTCCAGCCAGCACACATCACACTTACAATGTGCAGCACGCACACTCACACTCACACTCACACTACTCTCTCACACATAAACACTCACACACACTCACGCAGTGACACACACTCACATACATATTCACACATACACACACACACTCACACTCTCATGTACACATTCACACACTCACACAATCTCACACACACACAGATACTCACACAGACTCACATACACACACACTCAAACACACACGCACTGATATACACTCACACATGCACACTTACACTCTCACACACACACACACTCACACTCACACTCACACTCACACGCACGTCAGGAAAATGTGGCCTCGACCATTTTGTCTGGAAGCTGCATACACACCTGCCCAATCCACACTTGGTGTTTTTAGAAATTGCTCGTTCCCTTAGCTACTTCTCACCAGGGCAGGGCACGGCCTTAGACATTTCCGAATCTCCAGAGCCAAGTTCAGCAAGCACTTGCTGAAATGAGCTTCTCTAGACCCTTCCAGCAACAGAGGACACCTGAGTCAGTGAGCACCGGGTGCAGAATACAGCGCTTAGGAATCACAGTAATAACTCTGGTTGCCATGAGCATTGTAAGCACCTAAGCAGTGATTTTTCAAATCCTTATCTCCTTGGATGTTCATAAAAATCACTGTCGGGTAATCAGGACGTGTGTTGCCCGACAATAGAGGACAAGTGGCAAGACCATGGGTGGCCCAGCCCTGGCCCCATAAACCAGTCCAGTTCCCTTCACTGCTCCAGACTGAAGACCCAACAAGAGCAAGGAGAGGCTCAAACCCCGAGTAGCAGAGCCCGGGGCCGGGGCCTGCCTGCTGCCCCACAGGCTGCTCCCCGGCCCCTCGCCCCAACCGCACTTACCCCGACCCGTCAGGGCAGGCACATGCTCCCGGGCCAGGCCCACTCTCAGCTGCTCAGCCCAGGATGCTCGGGAACGGCTGCCCGATGGTTCCGAGTCGCCTACGCCGAGGGCACTTGCTGTCCCGTGTCCTCTAACGAACTGGGCCAAGTGTCGTGCTGGGGGTTCCGGAGACCCAGCCCACAGGCTGGTGCCTGGGCCGCAGGCTCCGCAGCGCCTGGCAAGCTGCACGGAGCTCCCAGAGCCAAGCGTGGCCTTGGCTTCTGCACGCAGCCCAGTTGGCCAGGAGCAGGCCTTCAGCTGACCTTGCAACCCCAATCCCTCTGTACAGACATTCGGTCCAAGAGCAGCAGCGCACGCGCACTCGGCCGTGACGCAGGCCTGTGGGCCAACTTTGGCTCCGTGGCCCGGAGTGTGGCGACTACAGCAGCATCGGGGGACGGTGCTCGCCCCTCCCCACCCCCAGCCCGTCTCCGTCCATCACCTCGCCTGTCCATTTCTTTATGGCGATCAGGCTGCTGGCGAGGCTATGTCCTGCGCTGGCTGCAGCCGCCATGGCAGGGCAGACCTTGGCCGCGTGATTCAGAGCGCACCCCCGGGACCCGGGACCCGGGACCCGGACAGACCGAGCAGCTGCACACGGGGAACCCCGTAAACAGGCTTTGGGAGGAACGCGCTCCCTTTGCAAAGTTTTGCTTTGTCCCAGAGCCTCCACGTACTTTTCTGTCTCTAACCTACTGGCTTTGCCTATTTCCCTGGACTCACTGACATGAAAGAAAATAAATCAACAAACCTCTCGAAGGTCTCCCATTCTGAAGGGGGTGTCACCAGCTCTGTGGGGAGAGCGTGGCATCGATACAGCCCATCCCACCGCCGTCTGGTCCCCGCTCCTCTGAGCCTCCCGCACCCTCCTGGACCCCCTGACTGGGAGGCCACAGGGCCTTTTCTATCGTCCTTTTGATTCCACGCCACACCACTGGCAGCACGTACAACACTGCCTTGCCTGTATGATGGGCACGGCCCCCCAAGACCCTCCGGGGCACTGATGCACTCCTAGGTCTCCACACCCTTCACCCTATTTCTTTGTAGAATCTCCCCCTGAAACAGCACAGCCCGCCTCCCGAGGCAGCCACGGGAGCTTCAGAGGCTGTGGGTCTTAGTGAAGCTGCTGTGAGCAGAGACCTCCCTGTGCTCCTGGTTTTGTCTGGGCGTTGCCACTCCTGTGAGATGCCACAGGAGAGGTGCCCCAGGTAGCTGCTGTGCCTTTAGTCTGGGACCCGAGGGGCAGACATGGACCCAGCCTCAGCCTAGCCTGGCTCACCCGCCACCTGAGCGGAAGCATCTGAACTGACACAGAAACCTGAGAGTGAGAAAAAAATGTGTGTGATTTTCCAAACATGATACATTGGGGATTGGTTGTTATGCAGCATCGTTACACAAGAGCCGACCACTACAAGCTGCCTTCTCAGTGTGACATTGCTGGAAGGAAGTAAAAGGCATCAGGCCACCCTTTGGGGGCCTCAGAACAGCAAGGCGGGGTCCCCCCCGACACACACACACACAGCCCCTCTCCTGAGAAGCATGAACCAGACTCCGGGGCCATACGGTGTCCTCCACCCTCTGGGGCTGCCCTGCCCGAGGACACACTTCACGGAGGCCCTTCCGCCAGCACACAGTAGGCACCTGCTTGGTGCTGGCTCTGCTCCAGGAGCACCTGTGGGAGATGGTGGGGAGCTCACTTACCTGAGAGCTGGGCGGGGCGACCAGGTTGATTCCTGGAGGGGCTGCCAGCGCTCCTGAGGGCGGGCCCATGGCAGACGTGATGACCCGATACGGAGAACCCAGTGCATTGAGGGGGGTCCCCACCGCACTCAGAGTCCGTGGAGCACTCACAGGGGTGTCCGTGTAGCCGGGGAGGCTGTCCATGGGCTTCCCTGTGGACAAGGCTGCCGATGGGCTCGTGGACGTGGAGCCAGAGTGGCCGGGGGAGCCTGTGGGAGGAGAGCACAGGTGAGGAGGCTGGGGAGCACACAGTGCTGGGGGGCAGCCCCCAGGTTTGTTTCCTGTGCCTTCCCTTCCTCCAGCCACACCTGACACCTGTGGACCAACGTGCTCGCAGCCACACCAGCTGGTAGAACACAGGCAAGCGAAGAGCAGAGGGAGAGACAGCTGTACGGACGTTTCTCTGTCCCCACCTGCATTCCACCTTCAACTGCGTCAGATCAGCCAGGGCCACAGGGCACGGCCCACAGGTCCCCAGGTCTGGGCAGCTGTGGCCTGGGCCGGCCAACCAGGGAAGATGAGTCCATACCCACCCGGGGGCGGTGGAGAGAGCACTCCCTGTGCTGTGAGAACATGCATCGGGAGACCTTCGTGCCCTCGCTCTGGTAGTGAGGAGCTTCCATTAAGGTGCCAGGTGCTGGGGATTCAGAGCCCAAAAGAACATAATCCTTCCCCACCCCGCCTCCGGCAACCACCAGCCTGCTCTCTGTCGCTGAGTGCAGTTTTTGTTCTGTTTTGTTTTGCGGTAGATTCCACAGATACTAGTAAGTGAGATCATGTGGTACCTGTCTTTCTCTGACTTATTTCACTTAGTACGATACCCTCAAGGTCCATTCATGTTGTCACAAATGGCAGGATCCCCCCCACCCCCCATTTTATGGTCTGGTAATATTTCACTGTGTGTCTGTACCACATCTTTATCCATCCATCCGCCAATGGACACCCAGGCTGCTGGGAGTAACGCCGCAGCGAGCACGGTGCAGGTGTCTTCTCGAGTTAGCGTTTCCACACGGAACTCTTTAAATACCTCGCTTAGTTAAGGCCTCGCTGTGGAGAGAATGGCCCCTCCCACACCTGAGAAAGTTCTGAGCCTCTAGTCCAAGCATGTCAAACTCAAAGGCTAGCATGGGCCAAATAAGCAAAAAACCCAAAGCTTCCATTTCCATAGAAATGTAGGTTTATTTCGATAGAGGCATGCTGAATACAAAGGGCTGAAATAAATGAGTCATTGTTAACATAAAATAATAGAACATTTTAATAAAAATTAATATTTATTCTTGAACATTAACTTACCAGACACTGAATAACTGCACAAATAAACGTAATGCAAATAAACTTACTTTTCTTGTTCTCCGAAAGCGAAATATTTCCTGTTGGGCACACCAAGCAAGTCAGTACAAGACTAACGACACGGCCATCAGCTGCTAAAATATTCGCTGCTGGTATTAGTGGAGAGAAATGGTGTGCCTGCGTTTAAGGCACGGCAGGGAAATGAATGCAACACAATTATAGTAACCAGTCATTAGCTGTGGAGAGCGGCTACAGTGTTTGGACAGGTTCAAGCCTCGGACTAATGAGAGGGCACAGTCCCCTCGTGGCAAAGCCACGTGCAAGTCCCAGCTTGGAGGGCAAAGCCCTCCCAGCACAATTACAGCCAAAGGCTATAGTTGTAAGCTTGACCTTATGGTCCGAACCTGTGGTCCATGTCGCTCAGTGAGGTAGGCTGTGGGAGGTGCTTGATAGAGTTCAGGTGCATGTAACTGAGTAGATTAGAAACCTGGGAGAACATTGTGAACATCTTGACCATGCCTTTACTTTGCCCCGTGGAATCTGGCTATAAAATACAGACTCGGCTTGCAGGCTGTGGAGCTGTCTCTCCATCCGAGAGCAGTGTCCCACCTAGCCCCAGCTTTATTCTCTTGTCTGTCTTTTCTAATCCTTCACTGGCCCCCTCCCTCAGGTTCGCCCATGGCCGTGCTGAGCACAGCACATTAGCAAATGTTGTAGTTCGTTATTCATAATTATGTATAACAGGATATTGTAAAAATTAAGTTACAAAAATTTTATTAAAATGTTTTTTACGTACCGTTATATTAACTGGGCCACAAAAATATTTGTTGTGGGCCACATGCGGCCCATGGGCCATGAGTTTGACATGCTTGCTGTAGTCATTCTATCTGGAAAGTTTTGGTCTGTTAGAGACAATTGTCTCATAATCAGGTGAATCCCAACCACCATGTTCCATGTCCCACAGCTGAAGAGGACCCCCAGGCTGTGGGTGCTCAGAGGGGCACGGGGCTTCAAACAAACAGGTCAGACACATACTCTGTGGCCTGAACAGCATCTGGCAGTCTCCACACGTAACGCATTTATCCCGTGAGGGTCATTTCAGCCTTCCCTGGATGAAAAAACAGGCCTGTGTCGCCCCTACACCGCTCCCAGTTCCAGGGCGACCTGCCCCCCTTTGCTGCCAAGTGAGTTCTTAGTCACCCTTCAAAGTCTAATGCAAGAATCACCTCCCCCGGAAAATCCCCTAGTTTGATGCTTTTTTTCTGTTGTCTAGGAACAGTCTATTTCTGTCTCTTCCATTAAATTGAGGAGGGAGGAGTGTCCAATTCTGTTTGCCCACCTCCAGCACAGTGCCAGGCACTGCCCGGGTGGCAAGTGGCAGAGCCCAGATTGAAACTGTCAGCCTGAAGCCCAGCTCTCCTGCCTGGGCTGCCAAGGACTCAGAGGAGGTCTGAAGTGCCCGGCACAAGCTGACCAATTCAAAAGTGATCTTGAGCTGAAAGTCCATCCGGATAGGGCAGAGGGCGGGGCAGAGGGCAGCACATAGGAGCCCAACATCCTCCCACATGGTGATGATTGGAAGAACCGTTTTAGACTCTTCTGGGGCCCTGGGAGGCTGACATTGAAAGAGGCCAGTGGCTACCTGACAGGCCCTGAGGCAACACCTACCTTGATGGGTGAGAGCTATGAACTCCACTGTCCCGTCCCCCACAGCCACAGCTCTCCACACACATGAGGGGCCTGCAGCCCCCTCTCCTCTGTGCCCCTGGACCTGAGATGGCGCCGGTCCCCTCCGCATCCCGGGGACGCCCGTGGGGATATGAGACCCTGAGCTCAGGATGGACAGATGAGTGAGCCCCGCTCACCAACCTGAGTTCCCAGGTGTGGTGCCTGCACCACCAGTGGGAGGGGATGCTATGGGAGGCCTGCACTGGGGTGAAGGCAGGCTTGTAAAAGCTTTAATTGTTTCATATTTATTTTTAGCATTTCCCTGTTTATATCAAGTGACTGGGCTTCCATTTTCACACTGAATTATCTTCCGAAAAATAGCTATTTAAGTTAAAAAAAAAAAAACACAAAAAACAGTAAATTGACCTAAGAAAAAGTTCACTCAACATACAAGGACACTCAATATGTAGAATATCATGAAATTAGTGTGCAAAGGCATGACATTTAAGAAACATCGACAGCACAAATATATATATACTAGAGGCCTGGTGCACGAAATTCTTGCATGGGGGGGAGGGTGTCCCTCAGCCCAGCCCGCACCCTCTCGAAATCCAGGTGATGGGGTCTAAGCGGGCAGTCAGACATCCCTCTGGCAGCCCAGAACCCCAAGGGGTCCTTAACGCTGCTGCCACTCCGCTGCACTGGCCAGCCATGAGCCAGCTTCTGGCTGAGCAGCACTCCCCCTGTGGAAGTGCACTGACCAGCAGGGGGCAGCTTCTGCATTGAGGATCTGCCCCCTGGTGGTCAGTGCACATCATAGTGACCAGTCATTCCTGGTCATTCTGCTGTTATGGTCAATTTGCATATTGCCCTTTTATTATGTGGGATAATAATAAACTGTCATGACTACTCGTGGGGAGTGGAGAATGAAACGATGAGTTCGGTTGGTTTTGCAGCAGCTTTAAAAACGTGGCTTTATTTCTGCAGAGTCCGTGGCCTGTTCATCACATTTTTTAAAACTAAAATTCAAAAGGACAAGGACATCTTACACAAATGCGTGTGGTTATTTGCTCCTCGGTGACTCGGCCGCTCTTAGAAGTGAATAGCCTTGCTTTTAGAAAAGGTAGAAAGCAGTGACTTTGATGACAAACGTGTCTCAGTGGACACTCCATCCATTTCCAGGAATGGACACGAGCGCTTACCTGTCCATGACATGTTCACCAGCCTCTTGTGCTCACCCCTTCTCTTTGCAGCCACACGAGAACCACAGCCAGTACCTGGAGCACTGTGTTGGCCAGGAACCTGGTTTCTGGCCCAAACCCGAAGTCAAAGTTTACTCTGTGCCTCTCTCTGGCCCTGCAGCTGGCTGTGAGGCTCTGCACCCCCTCAGCCTCAGCCCCGCACCCTCTGCATCCTGCATCTGCACCACACAGCCCTGCCCTCACCCAGTGATGCTTTCTACAAAATAAGCGGGAAAAGGCTGGTGTGCTCTCAAGAGCTCCGCTTCCCTTCAACCCTCCTCCTACCCTCTGGCCTCCTTCTCCCTCCCAGCAAGGACCCTGCCAGCCCAGTTTCATGAGCACGAGGCCAGTACTGGCATCTACAAGAAGCAAGTGCGGGTGGCGGTCCCAAATGGTCTGGGCCTAGACCCAGAGCCCAGTCATCAGCTGGACCTTGTCAGACCTGCAGGCTCCCAAGTGTCACGGGAACCAGAGCCGCTCGGACCCTGTGAGCGCATGGGTCCCCCAGGCACTCGGCCTCCAGCCCCGTGTGGCAGCTGTAGTGACTCACTACACTGTCAGGGCTGTGGGGCAGGGCTGTGTGGCCTGAACGCCATCGTAGGTTATGTGCCTAAAGGATTCAGCCCAAGCCAGGCCCATCGAAAACGCTCCACCCCAGCGGCCATCACCATACACTGGTTGGCACGCCTGTGCCTGTGATGTTGCATTTTCTGAATGCGTTAGTAAACAGTCATCGTTTGGGGCCAGACTGCTCCTCCATCACCTTGCTCCCCCACCCCGACCCCCGGGGGGCCCTCATAACCCAAACTGGCGCCCAGAGTTCCTCCCTGCTGACCTCATTCTGAATGCCTGATGCCCTACTGGCTGCCACACAATTTCATTCCACCTCTTGCTGCTAACAGCTACCACTGTGGGGCCTGGAACATGGCAGACTCTCGAAAAAGATTGGTTGACTCATCAACGAATGAGGTCATTTTTGTTAATTAACATATGTAACCATATATAGAGTT